CAGTTCAGGAGATGGGTAGAGCAGAGACAGCAAATGTTGCTCACCAGCAGGTGAGGAGTTCATGTAGAACATCCTTTCTCTTTCTTGTACCATTTTAAAGACGTACTTTCTGAAATGTTTTTTTCCTCAGACCTTACACAGTCTAAAACTGATACTGACTGCAGCTCTAACCCTTTCCTGTTTTGAAAGTCTGCCTTTCATTTTCAAAGTCCTTTCTTCTTTGCAATGCCCCTGGAGAAACCTGCATTCTCACAGACTATTTAAGGGTTGACAACAGCAGTTTCTTAGATTTTTAAGGGTCAACATCATTTGAACTAGCTTAATCTCATGGGTCCATGAAGGCAGGTTAGAAATGCTGCCTAAACAAGTACTCCATCCACCTTGTCTTAGTCCTGGCTGAAATCCAGAGACAAAGAGGAAAGCAGATCGGGGGGAAAAAAGACACAGTTAATTAAAGGCCAGGTTCTGAGCATCTCTATCTCTTTCAGGTCACTAGAGCCTTATTGAGGGAGCACACTCACTGAAAGTTCCTCCTTCCTTTGTTGTCAGCATCTAAGCTTAGTTGGCCTTAGGCCCCTCAGAGCCTCATGAGCTTTCCCTTCACTTTATCAACGAGCAGTTTTTCTAGGCATGGGTTAAAGTGCAGGCTGCTGCTTGCATAAGGGGACTTACTCCGGAAACATCAATATGCCAGACTGTCTGGAGGAACGTCAGTCGGCTCCGAGACCACATCTCCTGACAGTCCTCCCACTTCATCACACAGTCCCCACCATCTGACTTTCTTCTAACATGGGCTGGAGCCCCTTTCCTTGAAGAACCTCAGCAAGGTATACATCCTGAACAAGACAGCAGTATCTCAATGTGTTGCCAACAAACTGCATCTGGAATGAAGCTCAGGAAACCAAAAACTTAAATTCTCCATAGGCCCCACTTTGCAGAAAAAGATAAGGGTCACCCAGCAAAACTGAGAGAACCAGCATCCACAGGGGGCAGCACAGCCAATGGTAGCCTTCCTGGACACCCACACATTCCTGCTGTAAATACACAACTATAACAGGGAGGTGTCTCCTAAAGCCTGGAAAGCTGGTGTTCCTAACACTGCTCGAGGTTTTAGACTGCCTGCTAAGCTGTGTGTAATTCTACTAAATTTCTGCAGAGGGAATTAGCTTTTTTTCACTCAGAGTAAACACAACATTTGCCAGTTATTATATATGAATTATGGAATTCACAACATTTAATAGATTTTGTATAAATCTATCTGCAGGAAACAGAACTAATGATTTGTTGCTGGATCAACCTGTCGATATCAAAATGTCTAAAGAGATGCTTAATGGACTGCCAGTTGATGTAATATTTTTGGATTTCAGTAAAGCTTTTGATACTGTCTCTCACAGGATCCTTCTGGACAAATGTCCAGCACACAGCTGGATAAGCACATCATGTGATGGGTGAGCAATTGGCTCACGGGTTGAGCACAGAAGGTAATAGCGAATGGGGAAACATCAGACTGGTGACCTGTCACTAGTGGGGTTCTGCAGGACTCCATCTTAGGCCTTGTGCTCTTCAACATCTTCATAAATTACTTCAACGCAGGACTGGAAGGGACACTAAGAAAGTCTGCAGATGACACAAAACTCAGAGGAGCTGTTGACTCCCTCAAAGGCAGGGAGGCCCTGCAGAGAGACCTCAACAAATTACAGGACTGGGCAATCATCAAATATTTGAAGTTCAACAAGGGAAAGTGCCAGATTGTGCACCTGGGATGGGGCAACCCTGGATGTACAGACAGACTGGGGAATGAGATGCTGGAAAGCAGTGCCACAGAAAGGGACCTGTGGGTCCTGGTTGATGGCAAGCTGAATATGAGTCAGCAGTGCCCTGGCAGCCAGGAGGGCCAACAGTGTCCTGGGGGGCATCAGGCACAGTATCTCCAGCCAGTCAAGGGAGGGGATTGTCCCACTCTGCTCTGCACTGGTGTGGCCTCACCTTGAATATTGGGGCAGTTTTGGGCACCACGATATAAGAAAGATATTAAGCTATTGGAGAGTGTCCAAAGGAGGGCAACAAAGATGATGAAGGGCCTTGAGGGGAAGCTGTGTGAGGAGTGGCTGAGGGCACTTGGTCTGTTCAGCCTGCAGAAGAGGAGACTGAAGAGAGACCTCATTGTAGTCTACAACTTCCTCATGAGGGGAAGAGGGGTGGCAGACATTGTTCTGTTCTCTGTGGTGACCTGTGACAGAACTCGAGGGAATGGACTGAAGTTGTGCCAGCAGAGATTTAGGTAGAATATTAGAAAGAGGTTCTTCACATAGAAGAAGGGTGGTTGGATGCTGTAATGGGCTCCTCAGGGAAGTGGTGACAGCACCAAGCCTGACAGTTCAAGAAGCATTTGGCTGATACACTCAGGCACATGGTGTGACTCTTGGGGATGGTCCTGTGCAAGGTCAGGAGTTGGACTCGATGGTCCTTGTGGGTCCTTTCCAATTCAGCATATTCTGTGATTCTGTAACTGTTCCTGAAAGTCCTCAGTTGTCCTCAAGAACAATAACAGCCTTTCAGGGAATGATTCAGCTGCTCACAAACAGTTACCCAGTGCCATCCCATACAACCAAGCAGGGCTGCAAAACACTCAGGAGGGACTAATAAAGAGGACACAAAGGATCCCCGGCTTTTCCACAGCAGCAGCTGGAGCGCACATGTCAAAGAGCACTAGATGGCTTCATTTAGCAGGTAACTGAACTGTCAGCATCTGTAGTTATTGGATAGACAGGAATTTTGTATGTACTGGCTTTAATCATCCAGCCCAAACCACAGTAGCTGTTTTAGAGTTGATCTAAACCTCCAGCAAGATTCAGTTTGATTGCTGAGAGAGCTTTTAAGGACAGTACCTAGCAGACTGCAGCCTTTTGTGGCTCACAAACCTCTGACAGCAATGCCAGCATCTTTATGGAGTGCCTTGTGGGGCAGATACCGTACCTTGTAAAGGTAAAAATCTTGCAGCTCCCAGGCTGCTGCTTTTTTGCTAAAGTCTTTCCAATGCTAAACTTTAATCACTTAGAAAGTACAAAGTGCAAGTCTAGCATCAACCACTTCACAATAGCTCGTTTTGGCTTTTTAGTGCCCTCTTCTCTGAATACTATTTTAAAAGCAGTATCTATAACATCAATATTTAACCACTAGGCTTGTTCCTTATCACAAGGATGAGGATTGCTGTATATGTGGGCTAAATCACAGTGCCTAGACAGCTGATAATAATGAAAGCATCTTTCAAGATGAGGCACTTGATTGCTACTCTAAAGCTTACTGGTGAAAGAAATGTGTAATCTATTTTTTTCATTGTATTTGAAATGAAGTCACTTGCTTAAATATTAGTCATCTGGATATCTATAGCTCATTTTTAAAACTGGGTTAGCACCTGGCAATCCAGCCTGAGTAAGCATCAGGCTATCCCAGTCACAGGCCCATTTGAATTCTTGTTCATCTTTTTGCAATGTGTGACAGACTTCTTTTTTTCTGACATGACTTCCTTCCCACTTCACAGGAGACAAATCCATGCACTCAAAGCAGCTGCCTGATGGCAGCCCAGGGAGGGGAAGCAGCCTGGCAGTAGTTCCCTCTTCCCACTGCAGCTGGACAGCGGGGCTGGTCCCTGTGCCAATGCTACTCTGCCACATCTTGTCTCCCTCAGGGCAACAGGGTGCCCCAGGTACAAGAAAACAGAGCGGCAGAGTATGTCATTTTCTGCCTGTTATACAAAGATCAAGGTAATTTTCAATATTACTGTCCATGACATTTTCCTGAACATTGAAAGAGATTTTTTCTGCTATAAAAAACATCCCTCTCTCCTTTCCCAGATGTCTTTGTACTTTCTTTCCCAAGTGTTTCCCTGTTGTTTTTTCTCTGCCTTTGCCTTAATTTTCTGCAGTGTAGCACAAGTACAAATCATGCTCCTGGCAGAAAAGACACTGAAAAATTCTGCCTGTCCTCTGTCTGACTAAAAGCTGTGCAGATGACTTCATGTCTTCTGCACATCTGGAGACTGCATTGATAAAGACAAACGGCCCAATGATGATACCTAATGATTTATTTTTCCTTGGGGGAAGTGCTGAGGATACTAGATATACTTTGCAACGTTGCTCCCAGGAGAGTTTATATAAGCAGGGAGATGAATTAACAGGCAGCCTTATAGGGAGAGATGAATTTGTGAAAATGCATAAACATTAAGGAGATTTGCTGGAATACCAAATACCTGGGACCTAGTCCATGTCTCTGCACCCAGTGAGTGCACATAGCACTGGTGAGGTCTGTCCCACTGTACAGGGACTGTGTCTGGGGGACCACCAGCACAGCTATCACTCTCCAGAAATGATCTGTGCATCAGGGATCACAGGACCACTGATGTGGAAGGGAGCTGGCAGAGCTGAAGGTACCAAGTGTGCCTGGCACGGGGATGCATGGCTGGAAATTAGGAGGAACTCGGATAAGGATGGGGAGCATTGATTTTTATGAAGAGAAATAGATAAGTCTTAGCCTGTATGTGCATCAGTGGGAAAACTGCTCAATTGCCACTGACTCCTGACATGCCTCTGATTTTTGTAACAGTTGTAATTAATTTCCCTTGGAGTACCCAGACTGTCAAGCCGCATACCTGGCGTAAAAGGAGTTCATGCAACTCAAAGGTCAGCACAGTGCTAAGTCTCTGTAGGAAAGCATTTCCCAGGGCTAGGGGATTAGGAAACCATTTAAAACTAGGGAATCATATATAATACAATGATAGGAGGGAACTTGTCTGGCTTTCCTCCAAAAGCTAAGCATCATTCATTGATCAGAAAACAGATCTCCATCTCTACCGAGAACACTTCTTCCTCCATTTGCTAAGTGGAAAATGACAAACAAGCTAGCTGTGCCCTCTCCCACATCCTTTCTCCTTCTGTCTGTCCAGGTGTCCCCGTTGCTTTGCCCTCCTTCAGCGCACCACAACTGTACCAGTGGCTACTTACTCGGCACCGCCAGCAACCTCGGAGGCGGTGGAGGTGGAGGAGGCGGTGGTAACAGTGGAGGTGGCCTGCACTGGCAAATTTCCTGGCAGCTCTCTGTAACTTTCTCTGCTACAGGCTTGGAGCATGACTTCTGGGGCTCACCCTGAGTGATCTGTGAAGAAACAAGTCATTGCATGAGCAGCAGAACAGTGACAACTGATTTTCCATGAATGTGTTTCTTAGACTTGAGTATTCGAGTGGCACCTCAGACCTGTAGGGAGAACTGAGCTCACGTTCCTCACTAAGGTGACTACACGAGTGTCTATTCCCTATGTGGTTCCCATTTTTTTATCTTTTATTTTTTTATTTAATATATCTTCAAGACTCCTTTCGACTCTGTCAAATTTGGTTGAAATTGACCAGCTGGTTTTTGAGTTATTATGGAGTAAGGAGAAGGCAGGCAGTGGCAGACAATATGATTGCGTAAGCCTTCTTTCCTTAGGAAAGCCATCTAGCAGCATGCATTATTCACGGGGTCAGTGCTGCAAGCCAAAGAGAGCTAATAAAAATTACAAGACAGTTAGGGTCAGGATTATGTTCATTTTCCTTATGGCAGAACTGAAAGCCAGAGGACATCTCTCCTCTGCTTTGCCAGCATCACTTTGAAGTTGAGAGAGCATTTCACAGGGTGTTTCACTTCCCACCAAGAGGAGAGGGAACACATATTTTACTCATCTGTAGACCACAGCAACGACACGGTTAAAATGGAAATGCCACATTGTAACCTGTGTAACATGCAGTGTTGGCTAATAAAACTGAAGATGAGGCACTGCAGAACCCAAGTATGGGCATTGATTGGCAACAGACAATGATTTAGCCAGTACTGGTATATGATATATTCAATAGCTTGATCTAGTCATGACAAGGACCACTTACAAACAGCAAATTTGTCTTATCATCAGCAGTATTTACATAACTAATGATTTAAGGAATATTCATTAAAATTCCTAATATAATGCTACAAAATGGAGTCAGTCCCTAATGAAAAGGAAATTTGCTGAGCATCACAGAAGCTTCTGAGACATATTAACTTCAAAGGTCTCTAAGCCAGCTCTTTCTGAATGACTTATACTCAGATGGAAAATACTGGATACAATTTTAAGGAGACAAAGAAAAGTGTAAAATATTAATAAGCATGTTATCTAACAAGCATTTTGAATGTAAGTATCAGGAGACCACCTGGGACAGACTTGTGCCTTGCTGAAGCTAAGGACAGTTACACTAGCATTCAACTATTGCCTCATGCAGTTTGGTCTCAGATGGATTATTTTCCTAACAGTTTTGGCCTAACATCATCCTCTGTAATCAGGGTTTTTCCACAACATGTCGATCATTACAAAGAGGATGTTTCATGCCATGCTTTCTGATTTCTTTTAGGCACGCTTCTTCTGCCTCTCTGCCTATCCTCAGGGTCACCCGGGGTTGCCTTCTCCTCGCTTCTCTCTACCGACCAAGCTTTGCTTCCCTTCCCTGCCAGCTCTGGGCACAGTCTGTCTCCTCTACCTTTTCAACCCTAGCCCCCAGGCTAGGCACCTCTCCCACTCCCCGCAGCTGGGCACCAAGGGGGCTGCATTGCCTCTTGGCTGCAGGAAAGCTGTGCACAGCTTTATATTTCTGGCCAAAAAGAGAGATGTGGCTAATTAAAACAACATCACTGCACAAAGGACACGTTCACATGCGTAGGAGGTTTCTAAATCCAGAAAGACGCATTACTCTGGCCTCAGGGAAATGGAGGTAGGGCTTTGTTGATTAAATATTATAGGGAGGGAGGGAGGAAAGAATAGAAAAGTCTACATGTAGCTGAGTCGGAAGGACAGCTCAGCACAGCATAAGGCAGAAGGCTCAGTTCTTTAAACAGCTTGTCAAAATCTATTACCAAACATAGGGAAAAACAAATTCAACACAAGTGCTTTCCAAGTTTCCCCTTCACCATCAGGTAATAGTAACAGGACAGTTAAAGACCATCTCAGACAGCTTCCAGGAACTTACACAAACTCTCTGAACGCCCTAATGAATCAAAGTGACTCGGCTGCATAATCCCTCATGACTGGTAATAAATCTGTCTGCTAAGCAGGTTTATTTATTTTTAAAGTAAGTGATCCCAAGCAGCAGAATATCCTCCATACTGCCTCAGCTCTTTCAACACTGTTCACACATGGCGTTGGGGTGCTAGGCACGCTCCCAAGAAGAGCCCCATGAGAAAAGCATCGACTCTGTGCAGTGGCTGTGGCACACCTTGTTGAATGGGTATGACAATGTTTACTGTGCTGATGGAAGGAGGTGGGGTACCATCTCTCCACTGGTCCCAGCAACTGATCAGGAAGCAACTATTAACTCCTAGCTATAACTACTGTCCCCTAACTAGATCCTTTGTTATTGAATCCTATGAGCTCACTACAGTCTCACATGAACCAGTGTGATGGGAGAAGATAGACACAGGGCAGAATAACATTGAGCAGACTTGGAGCCAGCTTTGTTTGCAAACCAGAAGCAGCTTTGTGTATGTAAGTCTGAAGACAGTACTGGTATGGCAAAGCTACATTGACTTATTGCTCTAACCTAATATGAACATAAACCAAAAGCTTCCTCTGTCTTTTTTTTAGAGTTATTGACTGCTTTTAAATCCCTGGAGTCTCTCCTACCCTAGCCTGGTAATAGAGTGTCCTCAGAAACCACTGGATAATTTTCTCAATTACTTTGCAGACAATATTAACCCTATACACGACCAGCCACTCCTTGCTCCTGTCTACTTTGAAAATATTACTTTTGGGGAAAAAAAAAAAGTTGCTTTGTCTCTCAGTATCTGAGCCTGCACCTTTAGCAAAATTCTGTATGATCATTTTTAAAGAATTGTGAAAGAACTGACATTTAAAAGCAGAGGCTTTATCACCTATTTGTTTCCCTTCTCTTGTCACTGAGTAAAATGTCTGGTTGTTAGAAGATACCTGTAGGAACACAGATATTACCTTGCCAGGGGTTTTTCTGAGATGGTTAGTTTTCAATAACAAAGATATTGTAAGTTGGCTGAAATCTGGTAGGAAAAGGAAAGACTCAAATAGAGGTTGAGGGCCTCGAAAAGGAGAGAAATAGCCAAGGACTGCTGCAAGAAGACAGAATAGCAACAGTAACATAAAACAGTAGATAACAGTAGCAAAATAGAATTAGGAAAGAAAGAAAGACATTTGGATCCTTTTCAAGGAAAAAAAAATCCCCCTGTTGATGTCTATTAGTCTTCTTATGAAAGAAACGAAGGCTGTTACTTGTGTCTCCTAAAGGTAAGCAGAACAAATCACTAGAAAATATGCAATCTTGCTCTGGCAGAAGATGATAAAATAATACTTCATGTTTCTTTCTTACTGTCTGAAATTCAAGGTAAGTTGCCTTTACAGCATGTGGCAGGAGAAAAAAGGCATGTTGAAAGAACCTAATCTTTTTCTGGCCAGGTCTGCTAATTGAATCTGGCCTCAAACTTTACTGCTTGCTTGTTCTGCTGGACACTTTCATGGTCCCAGAATGGCTTTGGAAGCCCTTTGCAGGCTCATGTGTAACTAGAAACCCAACAGGCTGCCAGGCAGTTTGTAGCACAGAGGTTGCCTTGGCAAGGGTTCACTTCTGGAAATGGACCCCACAGGGCTTGCTCCCTAGCTGTTACCTCCACACCTTCCAGCCATTTGTCTGGGTGCTGGAGAAGCCATGGCCTGTCTTAAACTTGGTTGTTTGTTTGGTATGAGGCTTTCTTAAAACACACTCAGCAGCTAGCCAGTCTAGACATGTTGCCTGGACTTCAAGCTGATGCATTTTTTTTTCTCTGCTCTGAAAATATGTAGGCTTGACTTTATGGATTTTTGCATTTCATGCGAACATGTTTTGCAAAAAGGACAAACGTTTTAAAATATTTATGGAAATGAAAATCTGATCCACAAATGTCCAGGGAAAAACAAACAGAAAGTGGTAACTGGTGGTTTCCTTTTGCAGTCTCTGTTGAGGTTTGTACCTGTAGCATATTTCTCTTTAATCCAAAATCTCCTTTAGAAAGAGTGGTCCTAGTCCCACTTTACATAAAGTGGAGGAACAGCTCACCCTGATCGGGGGCCGCCTGCATGTGGCCAGAGCTCTTTAGTATTTCAGAGTCCCATGTGATTGCAGCAGTCCACGAGCATGTTCTACAGAGTGGGATGGGAAACAGGATTAATACACTCCCTGGAGGGTGGGCCTCTTGCGACTTTTTTAATCAGGTAAAAGGAGGAAAGCTTTAAAAGAAAACTGCAGTTGACTGAAAAGGCACAGGGACCTCTAAAAGCCTCCTGACGTAGCAAGAGCTTTGTCTCTTGGAAGCAGTCTACAGAGATGAGATCTCAACACCACTGCATAAATCCCAGGACAGCTCTGTGTAATTCACATCAGAGTTAATCCAGATCCATGTTTATGAAACCAGAAAAAATGTGACCCTGCTATTTATCATGACCCTTACTGCTCTGTTTTTTAAATTATGTCAAAAGCATCAGACAGAATCATCCCATCCTTCTTGTCACAGAGCTGGCTATGAGGCTAACGAGAAAAAATTGTGGGGTTTGTTTTGGTTTTGCTTTTAATAAAATAAATGCTTCTCCTTTGATTAGCATCTGACTGATTCTCTTAAGTGTCACAAGGCAGGGCCTAGGGAGGGAATGCAAAGAGGTGGGAGGGAAGGCAATGCCACACATAAGTCATTGCACAGACGAATGGGTGAAAAGGGGATGGGAGAAGAGACGTGAGAAAACATGACGGCTGCTATAGATGGAGCAGGGGCAGGGGAGCGACACGATGCGACATTACAGAATTAGTCAAGGAGAAACATGGCTTGTGAGACTTTGAAGATAAACAACAAGGATTATGACTCAACATGGGGAAGGGAGTCATGGGAGGGGTTCAAAGATGAAGGAGTTTCAGTCACAGGAAGGACGGAAGGGTGGCATGCAGGTGAGCATTCCACACCTGCCCTTCCCATTGGTACCTGCTGATAGGAGCCCTAGATTAAGCCTAGTTTTGGGAGAACTGGGCAAAAGCTTGAGCAGCTTTATTGCTTGCTCTTTGACAGAACAGCAGGCAATAGCAGAAGTACAGTTGATGAATGGGACAACAAAACTTCCAAATTACAGCAAGGAAAGCTTGCACTCCTTGGCTTTTGCATTTCTCAGAGCCTGTTTCAATTTTTATAAACATAATTATTTTTGAAAGATTGTCTTAGATTATCTGAGTAGTTTGCCAGAAAGATGTTTATGCAAGTTTTTTTTTTCTATTTGATTGACTGACTGACTACAGGAGAGGTTGCAAGAGGCATCTCTTTTCACCCAACTATGCTTCCCTGAAAAATGCAGTTATAGTTTTAACTTAAGCTCAGCTACCTGAATACTTGAGCAGGACAACAGGAAGGTAGATAGCACTGGCAGGGGAATTGGGTTGTTTTTGTTGTATTTCTGTTCATTTTAATCTGTAAGGAGCACAAATCCTCTTTGTCATTCATGGCAAGAGACAAGATGCTAAAACAAACAACATCTCTCTTTAATCTCTTGGGAGTCACTAAGTTTAGATCAGGGAGTAAAAGATGTGGAGTCTCCACTATGTTTTCTCCAAGAAAGAAACTGTAATTGGTCAGTTCTTGAACGGCACTTGGCTGGCTCATCAATCACTTCTCTGAAGACATATATGATAAATAAACTTTAAAATATCGAAGTGACGCATTTGAGTTGAGCTTTGCTGCTGTTCTGAGTCTCCAAACTGGATGGGTGCTCTCCCTCACTATATACAGTTTCTCCCAGTCTCTCTTGCTGGTCACCTCACGTTACAATCAAGGTCACAAAACACCACCGCGTCGTAGTTAGCAAAAGCTGATTCAGCCCTTAACCCACAGAATCCTCAATTCGCAATCAACACCGAAAACCCACGGCAAGGCATGACCACCGGGTCTCCGCTCCGCCACTGCCTCTTTCCGTGCATCTTGCCACCTACAGCAAAACGCGCTTTCCAACCCTCCGGCCGCCAGCGCGCCGAAGAAAGTCAACTCCATCCTGCTCGGACCGACCGCTCTCGGACCGAGTTCGGCGCTTCGGGGCTGTCCCCGGCCGCCCGTCCCGCACACTCGCCGTCCCGCAGCGCCCAGCGAGGGGGGCCCGCGCCCCTGAGAGCAACAGCTCACCCCGATCGGGGGCCGCCTGCGCGACCACCGCCCCGCCACGGCCTCCTCCCGCAGTGCCGGGGGTGCCGGAGGGGCTCTGCCCGCGCCCCCGCTTGCTCCCGCCCCGGCCCCGGCCCGCCGCCCCCCTCGCCCCGCAGCTACGAGCGGGCTAGGGCGACCCTACCTGGAGGGACCCCCAGAGCGGGTGGAGGGCACAGTGTAGCAGCAAGGAGGGCCAGCAGCGGCGGAGCAGCCCCAGCAGCTGCCGGAGCAGCATCCCTCCTGGGCGGGTGGGCGGGGGCGCGGGCTCCGGGCGACCTGGGGAGGGAGCAGAGCGAGCCGGCAGCAGAGGCGTTGGCTCGCACCCATGCCCGGAGCGCGACTGTCCCAACTTTAATTCTGGAGGGGAGGGAGGGAAGGCGGGAGGGAAGGAGGGGGGGAGGGAGGCAGGGAGATGGGCGGGTGGGGAGGGGAAAGAGTGGTCGGGAAAACCCAGAGCCCTTCAAGTCCCAGCTCCCTCAGCAGGGAGAGGCGCCTCCACCCCCGCCCTGCCCACCTCCCTCCCCGCCCGCCCCGCCGGCTCCCCCTCCACGGGATGCTCTGGCAGTAGCCGCCGGCAGCCTGCCCGTGCTGGGGGCTGCCCGGCCGGCGCTCACCGCTGAGCCCGGGGCTCCCTCACACCCGAGGGGGTGAGCGGGCGGCGGAAAAAGTTTGGAGCCGGGCGCAGGGGAAAAGGGGCAGGGCCGGGGCCGGAGCCTGAGGGGAGAGGCGAGGCAAAGGGAGCGGCGCGGCCGCGCAACCCGGGGATTGCATCTCCCCCCTGTCCGCCGGCGCCGCCGCCGCTGCTGCTGCAGTGATTTTTCAAGCCCATCAAGGCAGTCCCTTCCGCGCACGGCTCCCCTCGTCTCTCCCTCCCCGCCCGGGCTCCTCCCGGCGGCTGCCCTCCGCTCAGCCCCGGCGGGGGCGGCCCCCGGGAAGCTCGGGCACCTCCGGCAGCCGGGAAGCGCCGCACCCGCCCACCGCGCCCTCCCCGCAGCCGGGAGCGGGACCGAGCCAAGGGGAAAGCGCGGGATCAACCGGCACCTCCCGTCCTGGAGGAGCCTTATCCAGAATTGCGGCCAGGTGGTTTTGGGGTTGGTGGTTGTTGGTGTTCCCCCCTTCGCTCACGAGTGATACAAGGGCTTGTCCTGCGACAGGCGGGAGCTGGGGCTGGGTCAGCCCAGTGTCTCTGGGATGTAATAGGGAAGACGCTTCATGGCATTTGTGTTTCTATGTTCTAGGAAAGCACGCGGAAATGTGTAACTACTTGCGGGGAAGTGGATAGACCACCTTCCCCTTCCCCCCTCCTCCCCTCCACAATAGCAAGGCACCACAACCCGGCTTCCCCACAAGAAGGAAACAGTAGAAAATCAAGGATGAAGACGGTTTTGCTTTCAGTGAAGCAGTAAATGAGCAAAACAACTGCTGTGTGAATGGTGGCTGTTGCTGAAAGTTGGGCTTTATGGGTATCAGGATGACCATCAAATGTCTGTTGTTGGGTCAATGGCACAGGAGTCCTGTTTTCAATGTTTCAAATGCAGTAAGCACGTGGGTTTGAACAAAATATTGGACACAGGGATATTTCATATCCCGAGATGAATAGGTTTGAGGATACTGAATTTAGTTTTTCTTTGTATTTCTTGCACCCACTGAGTCAAGTTTAATAATCAGTTTCATAAAAATCTGCTCAGAGAAGTGGGAATGGAAATACATTAACTTCTCAGCTGATACACAGCTAAAATTTTCTTTTCATACCACTGTTACACCACCATCTCCATTTCAGCCCCAACAGGTGCTGGTTTAAATGTCAGGACTATAAGGCCTAGCAGCATCTTACAAATGAGAACAGCATACTGGAATGTAACGGTGTTACACCTGAGTCGAGGTAGACTCATTGAACCTAGACATTTATTGTAAATCCCTGCCTTGTGGTTTTGTAAGGGCAGAATACCGAGAGGTAGAGACATTGTGGGCAGTAATTGTACAGCAAATATATTTTCTGTAATGATGCTGAAAAAGATGGTGTCCTTTTCTGTAAGCCTACTGTGTAATACACAGGGCTTAATATATTGTGCTCATTCAATTATAGTTTTAGTGAGCTGGAGTCACAAGAGAGAGCAAAGCTTTTCAGGCTTTCTGGTGATTTCCTGAAGGTATTTCAGCACTTGGTCACAGTACAGAACATAATAAATTGCACCATCTGTATACATAGTTCTTGGTTCTTGACAGAATGAGAGATAAGGCTTTAGGCATTGTACACCAAAAAAATGCAACACAGATTTATTTTCTTTCAGTATTTACAAAGCCTTAATGTCTGAAGAACTGTGGATTTGCCTGCCATTAGCAATTGTCCAAGTAGCTATTTGTCCATCTCAAAGCACTGTTTCTGTGGTTCCAAGACAACCCAGGGAACTGAGTAGACAGAGCCAAACTCAACCCCGTCGCATAGAAGCAAGTGTAATCAGGGATATTGTTCTGACACAAAAAAGAGCAGAGTTTAGCCCAGGTAATCAGCATCCTTTCTGTTTCACTGTGGTAATTGACAGTTCCCATGGGAAAATGATTGGTCTGCAGATATATTAAATCCATCCTTTGGACCCAGTCATGTGGTCCACACACAGGCATATTTCCCATTAGTCTGAATGGCTAAAGAAAGGGCTGAATATGTGCCCTGTTCTTGTCCACATGACACCAGTGCTTTTAATTAATTACATTGGCTTCTCTTCTGTAGTTTCTATGGAGAGAAAATAGAGTCCAGGAATTTTTCCCACTTACAAGGAAGATAAATGATGTAATACTTGCAAGACTGTAGGCCCTGAATCAATGAGAGGCTTGAAATATGTTTTGCTTAATAACGCGTTAAGTATTTTGCAGCACCAGGACTGGTGTGTGCAAGAACAGAATGATTTGTTTGTAGCAGTCACACTACTGAAGTGTTGAGCAGGATAATGGCTAGGGCTACCATCCCTGAACCAGAACCAGGATTTCCTGATTACCGCTACCAGACACAACTTCCCTGCCACCTTGGGCATATTTTTAAAATTACTTACACCAGGTTCCCTTCCTGTCAAAACCAGCATGACCAGATCTAGCTACCTGAAATTTGTATTGTGTTTGGTGGGAAAAGCAGTAACGGGGTCCTGTTCTCCAAAATGTGTTTAGCACATCACAGAATTCATGACCAATATCAGTTCCTTTGCTGGTGTGATCAACAAAGGTCCATGCTCTGGCTCAGTGCTCTGGAGATAAAAAGTGTGTTAAAAGTAAGTGTTACAGCTCAAAATAATAACTTCAGCTATTTTAAAAGGGATTTTTTATTTGTTTTCAGAAAAAGACTGCACAAATAGCATCATTCAAGCAGTTTTTTGGAAGCTTTAAGTTGAATATTAACACTTAATAGAATGATGACCATTACTTTTTCCTTTTCATCTTTGGTTTGATTACCAAAGGAGTATTTATGTTGTTTACTTTGTGGCTTTTTTCCAAAACAATTGCTGATAATTGAAAAAATTGTTATTAACACTCCAGTGCAACAGCTACTCAGGAAACATTAGTAAGGACTGCAGCACTGATTACCTGTACAAACAAATATTACTGTACTCCTTTAATCTAAGTAGCCATAATGGTTATAATGGACTTTAGGAGGCTATTTATTTTGTTGGTATTGATGGAGTTTACAGTATGAATTCAAGTGTTCAGAGGGCACAGGAGTAGGTTCCCTTCGAGGTTGACTTGTCAAAACTTCATTAAAATCAATAGATATTCCCAGTCTCACTTTGTCCCTATGTCTTCTGAAACATCAGAGTGGAGTTTTAGCTGGAGCTAGTGGCAGAGGAAGTGAAGGCGACCTCTTCTCAGGCTCTGTGGTCAGTCAGGCCTAGGAAGAATCCACTTAAGCTTTTTTTGCTAATGACATTTCTGGATGTGAGTCAATGAACTGAAGAAGAGTGTCCGACCTGGTGAAATGCTAGCCAAAACATAAACAGAAAATATTTCAGCACTGAATTTTCAAAGCCTTCTGCAGCCTGAAAGCATGATCTGTCTCAGATTAATTTTTGGGTTTCAGTCTAGAAAACCATTAGCAAGCAATGGCTTGCACTGAAAATATTTTTGTTGCTATTTTTAAAATATATTTTTATTACTCCATATATCTAAAGCAGTGCTTTCAACATGTGGAAAGCAAATTTACTGGTTTTGAATTGAAAGTCTCTGCCAGAAATGTACACCTTATTGGGAAGTTTTTAGAAGATCAGAAATCAATAAAGGTCACAGTGTCCGAAACAGTGGAGGAATTTGCATTTCTCCAAACACCGTCATCAGTTCCCAGGGAGGGGATAGAATTCTTCTTGATGATCCCAATTATTTGATAAAACTGAGGACCGTGCAAAGAATAGATTTGATTTTTGGAAGATTTGATCATTTAAAATTTGATTCCTAACTTTGAGCATATTTAGAATAAATTGTTGTAACATCTGATTCTTTGATTTTCATTATACTCAAGGACTGGAAATGAGTCTTAAGTTTTATTAGTGTCCAAATATCAGTAAGTGCTCTTCAAGTTTTCTCTCACATAAATATGGGCTATGGCACTGCATCTGGAAAACAAAAGCAGGGTGTTTCCTTTTTTTTGCTATAGATCAGGAATAGCTTAATCAAAATCGATGGCTCCATGTCAGTTTAGGTGAGGAGTGAATAGGACCAATGTTGGAGAGCTGCATCATGTAGTCTTTAGCTTGTACTCCATCACTTGAAATTACAGGACATGGCAGATTCATGGGCAAAAAAGCTGTGGCTATACATCATGTAAGCCTGTTCTTGTCTTTTCCGTTTTTTAGCTCTGAGATGCTGCATTCAGTGATAAACAGGCCTCCTGCTTACTCACTTTCAGTAGTTTCTCACATTTTGTTCTCTTCAGCAAATGGATTTGCTCAGCAGTATCCCTACTCTTTGTTTATAAATATAAAGATAAAACGTGTGGGATTAGTTATTAAAGTGTCCAGAAAATCCTAGATGTGAGGAAGAGCTTGTATGTCCCATGTCTGGTTTTTTCAGCTTTATCAGTTGTTCACACAACATATTACTACTTCTTACATATATTACATTCTTAGTCCCTTATGGCTATTATAATGAAGTCCCTACATCCTGAGCGAACTACAGGTTGCAGGAATCACTTAAGTGCCATATCACTTTTCGTTCATTATATATTGCTGCTTAGGTCTCATCTGTCTTTACAGAAGATTAAATACTTGTTATTTGAATGTGTAAAAGACAGTATAAAAACACTGCCTTCACATTTACTTTTGGACTCTGTTTGGCTCCCTTGCAGATTCAATATAAAAGGCAGGGCTGGTTACACATTTCCAAGAGGAATTCCTCATCTGCTTTATATGGGAAATCCAGTACAAATGTCTAATAGTTGTGGTCTGTAGCTGCTTCTCTTGAAAATGACTGGTCAGGTGATAAAAGTTCAGCAAACCCTAGTAAGCCCTGAAAAGATACCTTGTTGTTTATTCCATACTACTATTAAGGATGTGTTTCTGTACTATCCTTGAGATTCTTGTGGATGAAGAATGATATAAGACTGGAACCATGGTTGCCAAGACTATTATGGAAACAGATAGCAAGGACAGGGCTGAGTAAACGTACACGAGTCGAAGTAGTTCCAGATGAAAGGCAAGGATGGAGAATCACTGCTCCTAAAACAAAACTATCAGTTTAGCTGCCTTTTTTTTTTTTTTTTAAAGTCCCCCTTCAAGGAGAAACCTGCATATATTTTGATCTGACTGATATAATTTTGATTGTCAGTTTAGTGAATCCCAAGCATCAGAATATTCCCTAAAACTACCAGTCCAGCAGTTTCTATGC